CCTGAAAATCTCAACTTTTGAATTTTTCAGTATTCCGGCTTGTATCATTCATGGAATCTTGAATCTTATTGTTAGAAGCTTCTTTTATGAATCTGAATATTCGAATAATAAATAATTTTTGCCTTTTAATTTGCAAAGAAATTTAAATAACCGTACTAAAAATATTCCAACTAAAAATTCACGAGAACCGTATATATCTTTCCAAGTTTCCATTGCTTTGTTGAATGTAAAATTTATAAACTATTAGATATATGCAAACATTATTTGATTTTGATCGTAACATTTCAATCTTTTCTAAGACTGTATCCATTTGAAAGAATTCCGCGAGAGTACGTTTAAAAGTATTGCTCTGGAGAGCGATTCTCGCGACAATAAAAACCGTCAGAGTCACCACTGTTGAAAGATAATAAAAGTTTTAATTTTACGTAAAAGAGAATTGTAATAAGAAATCTTTAATACATATATATAAGAATTTTGAATTTTTCTGTAATGTCGCGTTATTATTTATATTTAAAAGGATTTAAAATTTCATTTTATAAATCAGACAAACTAGTCGATAATCTTTTTAATATTTATACTTTTAAATCGTAAGGCTTAATTGTGTAAGGTCATGGACTTAAAAAAATTGATTTTCTTTTTAAATAGATGGCAAGCTGTCAGGTGCGAGTGCTTTAAAGTTATTCTGTAACAAAAGGTCTATAAAAAAATAAGGAGGAGAAACGTCCTCTGTGAAACTTTCCTAAGCACCTGCACAGGTAGAGAAGCCAGGTGCAGTTGCAGTATAACGTCGCGTCGCGTTGCAAAAACTTAACGCGAATGTGTGTGGTGGTTACTATACTAAAATATAAATTAGACATATAAATATTTAATTAATTTAAAAATGAAAGCAAATTCTTTTCCACAATAACTTTAAAAATTTAATTTCTTCGTAAAATAAAAATAATTTTAAAAAATATTCATTTACTTAACGAATATTAAATATATTAGAATAAATACTTTTATATTTAAAAAAATTGTTTCTATTATTTTATTTTGTTTACAATATTCTAATGTTTTCTTGGCTTTACAGTACTTTGAAATGTCGAAAATCCAAATAAGCAGAAGTTTAACGCGGTCGTAAAATTCGAAGAGTTGCTTATTCAAAGATGTTACGACGCGCGAGGGAACGGAGTTGTGAACAATTCAGCGATGCGACGACGATTCGACGAATCGACGACGATGACGACGATTCACAAACATATGCCGGAGTCAAAGGACAAAGATTGCGCCGCCCGCGATCGTCCGAGGGATGCCGTACAGTGTGCGCTAATGAAGCAGCAAGTCTTTGTGCTGCTTTTATTCTCTTACGTCATCAAATCCAGCGGCGGCGACGACGACGACGGCACGACCTGGCCGCGTTCTCAGCGCGTAGGACGGCTTGGCTCTTGGCTTGCGCAAGGCTCAATCAAAGACCGACCTCTCGCGGACCATCCTGGAAGCAAGCCAGATAATGTGTTTTTCCTCTGACTTTAGGCATTTCAAGCTAACGCATAATATATGCAGGTATATAATAACATTTTCACTTTATATAAAGAAACGTTAATCGTAATGTGTTGACATTCCAAAAATAGACGGATAAATTATAGATAGCGTATAAAACATTAAATCGAAGTCAATCAACGTTAGAAATTCGTTTTTTGATAGTGGCAAAATGTGTATATATTTTATAAGAATCCAAACAGCATATGTCCCTAAAAAAGACGACTTAAAAATATCTTATCGTCCTTTAGACATCTTTAAGATGTCTTTTGGCCTTCTTGTGCTGTCTGCGAACAAGTAAAATCGATCAATCTTTCTGAAAAAAAATTAAGAGGACTATAAAAATATAAAATGGATAAAAGGACTATAAAAATATATATCTTTCTTTCACACAGAGAAAAAGAAGGAATAATTATTTCATGTTTTAAATCAATTTGACATTATCTTACATTGCTCAGAAGAGTTTAAACAAGATTATAATCACTATCTTCTTTGCAAGAAAATGGGAGTCGAAATATTGCTGTTTCGAAAAAGTTGTTTTTTTTCTTCCAACATTAATATATACTATAACGATGCACGAAAGTAGTGAATGTAGTTTTATAACATTGAAAAGTTTTTCTAAATAGATTTTATTACTTTATGATTTTCTATTTTATAACAATTTTATTTTAATAAAATTCAATATAATATTATCGAAAATATTTGATAAAATATTGCAAAATGTATTTATATATTGGCGATGTTTCTAATTTTCACGTTTTACTGATATATATATCTTTGTACATCTATTTTATGCATTTTAATATTTTTTCTTTTTTTACAAAGATAATTTTCAATTAACATTAACTTCTCGGTTTAAACTTTATTTTACAAAATTTGCGATTACTTTGCGATAGAAAATGACGTTCTTTAGAATTAATATTACAAGAAAGGGATTATATAAATATGCCACTACCAATTGAAGTTAAGAGAAACCTTGATAAAATCAAGTTTATATTAGTAAAATTATATTAATTTCTTTAGATCTTCTAGTTATTGAATGTTTGAATTGTTGCGATTGTTACAAGGAAAGAAAGGGGGGAAGTGATCTCTAAATGTGTGTATTGCTACAAAACTTCGCGATTATAACGCAGAAACCACGTTGCGTGACTTGCGACACATCATGACGAGGCAAACTCCGGGTATATCATACTCGCGCACGCACGTTGCATGAGAACGTGTCGCGTTCACATTATTTATACCGCCTTCATCGGTCTTTTACTCTTCTTTCGAGATACTTAAATGTCAAAATAGACAGTCGGCATCTCAGTTTCTAAAAATGTATGAGAGTCTATAAATTCGGAATGCCCAACAAATTAATTTCAGTAATAAAAATAACAATACGAAATATTTTAAGAAAAAATTCCGATTGTAACAGTATAAGAAAAATGCAAGGAGATTTTCAATCTTGCAAATTTCAATATCTAATAGATTATAGGATGAGACTAAAATCTTGTTGTAACTGATATTTATATATAACTGTTGTATAATATTTTTATAATTATTTAAATTAATTTATATTTATTTTCGTATTACCTATTATCATATCGTCTTGTTTATTTTCTACATCATCACACTTGATTTTCAATCTCACAATTCCAATTTTTTTCTTTTATGAATCGTTAATCTAATAGAGTGTTTTTGACTGAAGTGGATTTCTAGATCGCTCCGAAAGCAATTAATGACGTCATAATCCTTTGTCGCGTTAATGTGTGTGAGCAATCAAAATTCGTATAAATATATTTGAATTCACTTATATTTATTTTAAGAATTCTCTCAGCTTCTGAAAAAAGTACGCAGAAAGTAGTTACATCAAATTATTGTTTGATAAGTCAAACAAATTGATACAAGATTTAAACACACATTTCCAGTCTGGTTCATAAAAACTATATATCTTATTACTTTTAAAGAACGGGAGAAGGGCAGAAATCCCTTCGGTCAAAAATATTAAGACTTTATCTCTGTTTGGGAAGTTCAAGTGTCTAAATATTCAGTTGCGTATCAATACTATCCTCTGATTTAAATTGAACTATCAGAATATCTAAACTCGAACAAAAAATTGTCTCATCTGAATTAATTTTATTATACATTATATAATTCCTGTATGTACTCCTCTGATCATAAACTAGCAAATCGATATCAACTTGATTATCAAGTAACAACTTGATCTCTCGTATCGTCTCAAAACAAGGGGAACGAGTGGGCGAGCAGTACTGACCCAGTTGATAGAACCGCGAACGATAGACCCGTGTTGTCGTCGGTGGCGAGGAGAAAAAGGGGTACAGAGGAAGGATGGGGGGATAGGGGAGATGAAAGGGGAAGGGGGTGATGCACGTAACGGTGGTGACTCACTCTCCGCGTGCGACGGCACGTCGATCTTTGCACCCTCCGTGCCTCCTCCGCCGCCGTCCCCGGACCCTGGACCCCTCTTCGCTCCGCAACCTTTCCCAGCGCATTTCCCGGCGCCGCGCGTGCACACGTGACATTTCGAGTATATCTCGAATTAAACCGTAAACATCGTAGTACAGGCGCATTTCCCGGCGGCGTGTAACGCGCCGCGCGTGCACACGTGACATTTCGAGTATATCTCGAATTAAACCGTAAACATCGTAGTACAACCTTCGCGGCCACGCGGTACCACACGCCGGTGTCAATGATCCTTGCCTGCCACTTATTGAATCGCGCGCTCGCACGGCGCGTGTGTCACTGTATACTCTGTTGTTGGATGTGTTTCTTCCGCCTCTACAGGGTGACCGAAAAGACACGCGCCGCGGAGATTCCGATTGCGAGTGATCGAATTTTGGAGGGGATGTAATGTATACACGGTCCCTCATTTTGCTCGACTCCATAAGGGATGTGTGTATCTCGTTACTGAGATATATACTTATATTGTAATAATATTACGCTAATTACTACTAATTAGGAATACGAACTCTAGTAACATACTTTAGATGCCACTATACGATTATATCATAATAGACATTAGTGGGCAATTACTGCATTGCATTAGAATCGTTTTGTAAATTTTATTATTTCTTTTTATATAAAATATTATATTATATACTATATAAATTTTATTCCAATGCTTGATTCATCTTTGAATTTATCAGTTATGTAGGAAAACATTAGAAAAAATTATATAGGCCTTTAAAGGAACAAGAATAATTATTTTGCGTATATTCTTCTACAAGGAATCATATAAACTATATTTTAAATGGTAACAAACTATCATTTATTAATATTTTTTGTCATGACAAAGATACACATCTTTTTTATAGATAGAAGACAGAGAAGCATAGGATATATAGCTCTTGCAGAAACATAAGCATAAAATACATGGTTTTTGCATGCAGAAGCAGGAAAGTATAGAACGCGTGGTTTTATATGATTGCAGCCTATATTCTGTTGCAGATTTTTCCTTTCTACATTATTCATGTCAAGGGATCCGTCAGAGATCGTCTTCGTTCAACTCACGTTCCAAACTATCGCGGCTGTACTTTATAGGCACATATAGAAAATAACATTTTATGTAAAAAATACTTAACCAAAAGAACTTTTTCTAAGGAATCACAATTTATTTTAAACGAGTAATTTATTAGTAACGCTAAACGCTTAACGAATTTTAAAATCTTTTTCAATCGAGAAGATCAAATGGAGAGAAGTTAAAGTTTTATAGTGTGAAAATTTATTATATTACATTTCTGTTTAAAATTAACAAAGTTTCATCGTGTATCAGTATCGATCACACACATTCAATTATGCATATATAATCATTATTTTCCTTAATTTATTCTCAAATATTCGTGATCGAGGCACACGACACGCCGGCGAACGATTCATGCAACAGCATCCATTTGTAGTATAACGTTACTTTAAATGTACCTTTATAGAACACTGCGTATATTATATTGCATCGCGTTACATAACATCTATTCGTTTAACATTACGACACACTGCAGAGATATATATATATATATCTACGTATATATGTACATGTATGCATGTGTAGCTATGCTTTCGGCTCCCACGCCATGCGTCAAGCGTCACTCGCCGGCGGCGCGTCGTCGTCACACGTCACACGTCACACGTCACTCGTCGATCATTTCATGTATCGTCGCCGCCCGTGAACTCTCCGCCGCCGCCGCCGTCACCGCGGCCGGCGGTTTCGTAGGTAAACCGAACGTGTCCGAGTGCGCACGTGCGTACGTCTGGCTGCGTGTCTCGCGTGTCCACGTTCGTCGAACGAAGACGAGCGGCGATGACGGAAGGGGTGCGAGGGATGAGAGTCACGTGTGCGGAGAATCTACTACGATTTACTCGCGGGATCCCAGAAGCGTCTGCCACCCTTGTCCCCGCCTCGTCTCCGGTCCCGGCCCCCCTGCAACCGTTCCGTTCCCCCCTCGCTGCTCATCCTCCTCCTCCTCCTGCTCTTCTCTTATTCTCCTTCTATTCTTGTTGTACTACGACGGGTTACTCCACTTTCATTCAGACGCTAGTCTAAAAATAAAGTCCTTGATTCACGATGCATGAATGACAATCTTATCGCGGGAGGCCTTAAATCGTGGAAAAGATCCACATCCGAATACTGGATAGCTGTGTCTGTCTAGTATTGTATCGCGTGTATCTCACATGCCGTATAACATGTTCCTTATTTGTTCCTTATATTAGGATAAAAAAGTGATACGTAGTTTTTTTTTTTTTTTTAATATCAAAAATAGTGATAACATCGAAATGTAATATGAGATTTACTCTCCTCTTTTTGTTGACTGATTCTTTCATAAAGTTCCATCTTAAGATACCTCCCTTTTTGTTGAATATTGAAAAATTAGATTATATAAAACCAGAAAATGTACTTATTAATTTAGCGAATTATTAAATTTTTATTAAAACAAAATTTAGTACATATCAATCTCTAAAACTAAAACTACTGTAACTCAAAGCTTATATTTCAGAACAAACCAATGCATTTCATAAATAATAAAAAAAAAGTGATTATAACTAAAAAGCGACAGTCTTGGAGTTATGATAATACTGTACTGATAGAGTGCGATATATTAAATAAAAAGCAAAGCATTGTTATATCCATTAACAAATTTGGAAAAACATTCACAGCAATTTGAGGGGATTCACAGAGATTCGTCTCTCCCCTGAATGTATAATTATAATAACAGATAATAGATCTATATAAACACGCTCAATAATTACATAATATTAATAAATCAATATTAATAATATATATTGTAATAATATATATTAGTATGATTATACATGCATATGTATACATCTATTGTTAATGTAATTTAGAATAACATATGATACTTTAATAATCCAACGCACACAGCCAATATTATATATATGAAATTTCAATTATTTCAGGATTATTCAATAATCTTGGAGCGCATTTTCAAGCGTAAGAAAACGCACTGCAACTCGCACGCTGTATTCCTCGCTCGCTCACGAGCTGTTTCGCAGCGACCAAGGCGAACTTCTTCGTTCTCCAACTCGTCATCGCCGCCGCCACTCAGTCGCGATATCCAGCGCTTATATCTTTGTATGTATTTTTCTCTATCCTAGAATTATTGCAAAACGATATTTCGCGGTAATACTGATCGCAACGCCGCAAATTGCACGCGCATATACATATATTGTGATCTCATAAATATATAATAAAAAAATATTACTCTCTATGATTTTATATGTATGAACAATACTTGTATAACCGTTTTTTTTTTTTTTTTTTTTTGAAATAAAATTATTAATTATGGCAAAGAGCAAAACATATAGCGAAGCACCTAAGCAAAGTCTCTACACAATTATCATTATTATTTGCTTTTATATATTAGATTATAATAATAAACATTTTCTTCTCTCGCAAAAATGTGATAATTAATAATTTTATTTTGAAGAAGTCATAAATAAAATGAGTTATAGATTTTAGCTAATGATACTATTGCATAACTGAAACATTATCGCAATCATATTCGCGATATATTCACACACAGTTATTATTCATTACATTTTTGTTTCTCTACAATAAATTTTGTTTATGATACAATATAATTAATATTATAATACAATGATGTGTGATACATTGCATGATATCGGAATTTCATTTCAAACTGTCAAGATAAACGTTTTGAAATGAGCTTTTTCACGTTAATGAAAACAGTGCGAGTCGCAAATCTTTCGTTATTGTGTATTCCAGTAATCATTGAATCATCTCGAAATAGAAAAAATGCTCGGATCCCTAAATATCCTTAGAGAGAGAGAGAGCGCGGATATGTCCATAGATCGACGAGTTTTCCCACGCTTTTCATGGTAAATAAATAAATATCGATCGCCGCGCGGCTCAACGATGTCGGAGAGTCGGAGTCGGAGGCGAGCGAGCCAGCAGGCGAGCGAGGGAACGCTAGGTTGGAGCTCAACACATTCCGCGTGTGTGTGTGCGCGCCCGCGCGCTCTCTGTCTCTCTTCCACGGCTAAATATATATTTCTCTCTGAAGCGGCTCAAGGTCACAGCGCTCGGATTGGCTCGCGATAAAGCGCCTCGTTCCTCGCACGCTAGCTCGCTCGCTGCCTTCCTTCGACCATGTCCGCACGTCAGAGCGGTGCGACATTGTCACGAGGTATATGGCGAATGGGAAAACGAGATAGCGAGAGAGAATGAGAGAGAAAGATAGAAAGAGAACCCACGTGTTTCCCCGCGTAGCATCACGTTCGGCGCGATGTTGGCACACGAATCGTATGGCAGTTACGCGATACCTCTTGAGCCGTGTGGATGTTGTCGATTCTTCTCATTGGGAAGCCACAGACGTCGTGGATGACGCGTTCTCGATGTCGATATCATGAGCCGATAAAATTTTCCGTTTTTCGAATCGTCGCTATGACGCACGCATTCCACCTCCTTCTCTTTCCCCAAGAATTATTACTAATCGTATTCAATTTCTAGTCTTTTTTTTTTTTACTATAGTGAATGATAAAGAATCGGCGAAGATCTTTTTTCATGGAATTTAATCAATAATTTTTGAAAGGCTAAAGATATGAATCCAGAAGTTCCTTTTTATATATCTTTGTTACTAATATCGCAACGATGTCAAGCGGAAAAGAACTTATTAGCATTAACTTTAATTATGATATGCTATTGAATTAATTAATCAATATTAATTTCTTTAATTCACGATTGCTCTCTCTATCACAAGAATGAAAATAATATAAAGACACGAAAGATAAAAATAGATAGATATATATATAAGAAGAGATAAGTTTAATAGGTTTACAAATAATCTGATACTACAGAAGATTTATAATAAAACATTTATTTGAAATTCTTTTAAGTGCATCTATATTTATTTGTAATTATCTTGTAGATATATATTTACTTAATTTCTCTTTTTCGGTGCTTCTTATTGTTTCAAAGAACATATCTTGAATTTTTTTTTATCCATGTATTTAGCTCTAAATGTCATTTAACTCTAAGTTTATTATTAGTTTTCTTAAGATATAAGATACATATTTTATAAATGTGTAAATACATTATATGTAAAGATAATCGTATCTGGCTTTAAATGCACTAGAAATTTTCTTTAATAAATTTGATGTTATTTTAAAGACACTAGCTATCAAAAGCTATTTTTTGTTTTGCCTTAATCTTTATTTATTTGAAGAAGCATTAATTTTTATTTCGTCTGACACAGCGTCTGTCGATATTTTATCGATCATTATTTTATGACTTTTATTTTCATACGAAAAATTGTAAAACAGGGAAAAATAATTTTTTTTTTACTCGTGGAAAGGCATATATTAGAGTTTCTTATGCGCAGACAATTTTCGATTTGCATTTCTCAAAAGTTAAGCAAGATTTTATTATTCGATATTTATTCCTATCGGGAAACAGTATATAACACGTTTTATAATCTCATTTACAGAGAGTGAGTTTAATATTTTTGCTTGTTGGTTCTTTTATCAGAGTGCATTTTAATATTTTTTTCATTTGTCATTGCAGAGCAACCGCGACTGGAAATCGAATCTGGGAGACTCGCTTGTCGGAGGACTGCGCCTCCACTATCAATAAGCTACACAGATCCTGGAAAGTTTAGCAAGATTGACACTTGCAATTTGTATTTTCCCGACATTTTCAAGGTATAGGTAAAAATAATAAAAAAATGTGTGTCTGACTGAAGTTCTATAAAAACTTGTTTGAAATTAAACGAGCTAATTAATAAAATTATTAGAAATAATTGATAAAAGTAAGATCATGTAAAAAATAAAGTTTGCGGAAATTTATATATATTTCCCAATTTATCGTTGATCCTCGCGCGAGTGATAAACTCGTATTATTTGTTTCCGTGCGCACGCGATTGATACAGATTGTTTTTATCGATCGTGACGTACATGCGCGCGGAGATGAGACAGATGAGACAGAAAAAGAAGAACAGGAATAGTGACAGAACGAACGAGTAAAAAAGTGTAGGGGAAAGGCGGGAAGGAAGGGAGAAGAGACTTTACGCGCCAGTTTCTTCCGTGTTGCAGAAGCGAGGGTGAGAGCGACGAGGGGTAAGGGGAAGTGGAGTACCGTTGTTTTCATTCCCATTGAGGCCAGTTTGTGTCAAGGCTGCTTTTCCACGGTGCCAAGCCGTGTGCGGATATGCGGTATTACGAGGTGCAACGCGCGTTTCAGCTTTGTGAAACATAACTATTCGGCTCGATGTAAAATATCGAAAAGTCTTTCTAATGAGTGACACGTGGAAATTTATCGAGAAATAAAATTGCGAAATATGAAGATGGAAAAATTTACTTTGAAAATGCCTCAAACGCGGAGGAAATGGAACAATTATCGCATTTTTAAAATCAGATTCTTTATTTTGTATAAATTTAGCAATTTTTATATTTATTTAATGTAAAAGAGATTTTGTTTTAAATATTTAATATATTTTTTTATATAATATTAAATATATTATTAATAATAAAATTTTTCTTTTTAGAAAATCCATGTCCTGCGTTCGTTATGCATAATAGCTAGCATTTAATTATATGATCTTAATACATATATATATAAGAATTATTACTAATCGTATTCAATTTCTAGTCTTTTTTTTTTTTACTATAGTGAATGATAAAGAATCGGCGAAGATCTTTTTTCATGGAATTTAATCAATAATTTTTGAAAGGCTAAAGATATGAATCCAGAAGTTCCTTTTTATATATCTTTGTTACTAATATCGCAACGATGTCAAGCGGAAAAGAACTTATTAGCATTAACTTTAATTATGATATGCTATTGAATTAATTAATCAATATTAATTTCTTTAATTCACGATTGCTCTCTCTATCACAAGAATGAAAATAATATAAAGACACGAAAGATAAAAATAGATAGATATATATATAAGAAGAGATAAGTTTAATAGGTTTACAAATAATCTGATACTACAGAAGATTTATAATAAAACATTTATTTGAAATTCTTTTAAGTGCATCTATATTTATTTGTAATTATCTTGTAGATATATATTTACTTAATTTCTCTTTTTCGGTGCTTCTTATTGTTTCAAAGAACATATCTTGAATTTTTTTTTATCCATGTATTTAGCTCTAAATGTCATTTAACTCTAAGTTTATTATTAGTTTTCTTAAGATATAAGATACATATTTTATAAATGTGTAAATACATTATATGTAAAGATAATCGTATCTGGCTTTAAATGCACTAGAAATTTTCTTTAATAAATTTGATGTTATTTTAAAGACACTAGCTATCAAAAGCTATTTTTTGTTTTGCCTTAATCTTTATTTATTTGAAGAAGCATTAATTTTTATTTCGTCTGACACAGCGTCTGCGATATTTTATCGATCATTATTTTATGACTTTTATTTTCATACGAAAAATTGTAAAACAGGGAAAAATAATTTTTTTTTTACTCGTGGAAAGGCATATATTAGAGTTTCTTATGCGCAGACAATTTTCGATTTGCATTTCTCAAAAGTTAAGCAAGATTTTATTATTCGATATTTATTCCTATCGGGAAACAGTATATAACACGTTTTATAATCTCATTTACAGAGAGTGAGTTTAATATTTTTGCTTGTTGGTTCTTTTATCAGAGTGCATTTTAATATTTTTTTCATTTGTCATTGCAGAGCAACCGCGACTGGAAATCGAATCTGGGAGACTCGCTTGTCGGAGGACTGCGCCTCCACTATCAATAAGCTACACAGATCCTGGAAAGTTTAGCAAGATTGACACTTGCAATTTGTATTTTCCCGACATTTTCAAGGTATAGGTAAAAATAATAAAAAAATGTGTGTCTGACTGTGTTCAGATAATACAAGAGTCGATAACAGTCGCTCGTAATTGATGTATACTTATCACTCAATCAGATGTCTTTCCTAAAAGTCGATATCTTTATATCCATTAATGTATTCTATCAATTCGACTTTTTCATCCTTATGACAAAATAATTGCGCGACGAAAAAGTGACTCATCTCCACAAAGTCTTATGGTAATAAGAGAAAAAAAAAGAGATCAATCGCATGTATGAATGATCCAGCTATCCATTATATAGCATTCAAAGATTAATAATAATCTATTGTGTATGTGTGTTAATTTACTTTTTTATATTTTATCACATGTATCTTTTTTTCTCTCAATATTCTATTTTATCATAGTTGTTTCTATTTTCCAGAACTTCGCGTCATGCCATATTTTCTTCGCAAACTCGCTGCTAAATGCGGTGATATCGCCTCGACGAAAATCTTCCCGCGCCGCGCGCGCCGTGTAAATCGAACGTTCGATAACGGACGGTGGCGAGAAAGGAGGGAGCGTGCGAGCGAACGAGCGGACGAACGAACGAACCAACAAGGGACGATCTGGCAACAGCGCTGAGTCGCAGTGCCGGAATTGAATTTCAAGCGCCCGAGGGACAGAAGAGGGGGCGGACCGACCGACGCGGCCCTTTCTCTTTTGTATAGGGGGCACGAGGCGCATAACGGTGAGTCGACAGCCATGTTGTTGGAGCTTATACCCGGCATGCCCGTTTGCTTGCTTGCCTGCCTGCCTGCCTGTCTGTTTGCCTGCCTGCCTGCTTGGTTATCTGTCTGGCCTACGTGCCTGTGCCTATATTCCACACAATCGTTTCCCTTCGCTCCGCTCCGTTCCACTTGGCTTAATGGGGCTCCGTCTGCGCGGACAGAAAGGAAAAGGCATAATCGCGTAGTTTTTAAGGACGATACCAGATAATCTACCAGATTTCTCAGTCCGGGCATGTTTTTAAATTTAGAAATGCACAAAAGTTATTTCAGAAAGAGCAGAAGATGGAATAGAGCGGGGCGTCGAAATGTTGGGAGACGTTCCTGGGAAAACCAAACTTCCCTTCACCTTTATCGCCCTTTTTCCTGTCGTAACTTTACCCGTATTACTCGGAGGAGGCCCATAGAGGGGCCTAACGAACGCACAGTAAACCAAGGCCCGAACATATATTTCGAAGAAGGTAGAAAAGTATTTTAGAGATGATTTACACAATCTTGTTTTAAGATTTTTAAAAAATTATCAAGAAATTTTTTAAGCTTAAACTCTTTGTTTTTTTTTGGCAAATATTTCCAATAATGTTTTCCACATCTAATAATATTTAATGTAAAATATAAACCTTGCGATACATATTATTTTTATCGCTTTTATAGTTTTCTAAAATAAAAAAATTATTTCGTATTAAATTTCGTAATTTTTTTACTAACAATAAGAATTGCATTCCCCTTGTATCTTTAACCTTTTGAGAGACTGTGCTCTGTATCTTTGACCTTTTGTAAGAAAATGTAATTCTTCTACAAAAGAACGACAATTATTTCCAAAATTGATTATTTCTCTCTCTCTTTCGCATCATTCTCATGACCAGTGACTTGGGAAAGCATACACGTGTACTTTTGTTTTAATAGATTACCGTCCGGCATGCTCTACTGGATGTCCCAAAAGAACATGACCCATTAGCCGCGCTATGTCTTTATCTTGCAAACTGACATGATGGTGAAACTTGGCAAATGCGCACACCGGCGTATCATCTGAACGCAGCTGCGTAAGATTCACCCTCCGAGAATCGGTTCGAAGCGACTGCCAGAAACAGTCGTGCGTTTCATCGCGGGACATCCGTTACAAAGTATGCGCTTCTGGAGAGGGTTTGTATATAACGATATAGCTCCAACATTTATTGCTACGTATCATTTAATAATTACATGAACTTTTCTCAAACCTCCGACTCTTTTCATTTTGATTATTAGATTATTAGATTATCAGTTATTAATTATATGTAAATAAAGACAAAAGGAGAAAAACAAAAATTGCAAAGATTGTGTGTGTGTGTGTGTGTGCGCGTGCGTGCGTAAATGTATTCTATGTATTTATACACTCGAAAACTTTTCGTATATATATAATCTTTAAAAATAAACTCCCCGACGTCTTTTCCTTCTCTGTTTACCACCTCGAATAACCGCTTGGCTCGCTTACAACCTTACATGTTATAATATATCGAATATTTGAAATTTATCGAGTATGCAATAATAAGTTAATTATGTCAATATTGTCGCAAATGAATTAAATTTGTACATGTCGTGAAAATGAAAGAAGGGAGAAAGGTCAATACCGTCACAAAATTTCGTGTGCTTTTTCATAAGCACAACAGCGGAACAACTTGGAGTTATTTTATCCATCCCTGGGCGCCGCGTCTCCACCAGCGATCCACCATCTACCAGCAAGGCGCCGAGGAGGGGGACGCAATGCGCAGCTGACGGTAGATGTGGTGTCCGGACGCGCGCGGACGGCAAGGGGAGAAATGTTCGTCCGCTCGCTCTCTCGCTCGCTCGCTCGTCTCGTCGGGTGCGGGTCACCGGGAGTCGGGGGACTGGCGGGGTGCCAGCTGCGGCGCGAGCGAAGGCGCTGCCCTCGCTCTGTCAGCTACCATACTAGACTTACACACACACACACACATCCGCGGAGCGAACGATTGGCTGGCTGGCTGACTGGCTGGCTACGTGCGTTTCCTCCGCGTTCCCGTTTCCCTAGACACGAGAGAGGGAGAGAGGGAGGGAGGGAAGAGAGAGAGGGAGAGTAGGGGTGTGCTCGTCGTGTCACGGACTTATACATACACGCGTTACGTTATTACACGTGTATTTCACGCACAGTAGAGCTCCTTTTCGAAACCATAGAAGCGGTGAGCGTCGTACGCTCGCAAATGTATCGCGGTCGTGATATTCCCGCGTAGAAAAAAGGAATATCGACTCGATAAACGCGATCGCGAAACAGCGTCGAGAGGGAGCGGCAGGGAATGAGCGAGAAGGACAGAAAGAGAGAGAGAAAGAGAGCGCCGTGCTCGACCAATCGCCGTGTTCCATGACTCCGTCGTCGATGAGACGGTCGTCGCGCGACGTAACCTCAGTCGCTTACGTGGAAACACGCCTGCCAGGCGACGCGAGTAAATCGAACGAGCGAAAATTATAATACGGAAAACGGACGGATATATATGTATATATATATATTATATATTATATATATATATATACGACGTTGCGTTTGAAACGCGCGATCTAAACGTCGTTCGCGCACGTACTTTCGTATTAGTACCATTTTGGAACAGAATTACACTATATACGCGAATATTCGCGTCGGACGCGAGGAACGACCCGAGAGTCACGTTGATACGCTGATTGCCAAGCAGAAAGATAAGGAGCGAGTGTGCTGTCGTGCGTGAGAACAAGAGAGAGAGGAGGCGCACCGCAACGCTCCGTAGAGAAAGGAGCCTCTCCGTGGAATCTCCTCACGCTCCCCTCCGACACACTCCGACACACTGCACAAGCACAAGGTGTCGAAGGCACGTCGCCGCGCGTATTCGACCGAATTTCGCGGCCCGTAAGCGTGAGCGAGACGAATGCAATAGATAGACAGAAGAGGGGGAGAGAGAGAGAGAGAAAAAGAAAGTGCGTATGTGTATGTTGTGTGAGAGAAAAAAAGGGAGGTAGACGTATAAGAGATACATAGAGCGATCAAAAGCAATAGAGAAGGACACCGCGATAGCGAGAAAAAGGACACGGCCGGACGTGGAAGAGAGACGGAAGAAACGGCGATCGAGTGGGAGAGATACGGATTCCTAAAGTGTGAGACAGAGTGAGAAGGGCGACGAATCGGGTGGAGCGAGAGAAACGGATAGAGCGACTCGACGGAGAAAGCGTGACGGACGTATTTCGTAGCAAGATCGGGCGGCGAGAAGGGATAAGGGAACGGACTCGGGGACGAGTACATGAAAAAGAGAGAAAGGGAAAGA